GCTCGAACTGCCCGCTCATCGGTGGGCCTGACTGCTGACTGCCACTCGCTGACTCGACGAGCGGGCGTATCGATCGCGCCGGTGGCTACGACACACACACAACACACACACACACAGCACACACACTCACCATCACACACGCCACCGCGACGCACACACACTATATATATACAGTCGTAGCGTCTGTTCTTGATAGCTCACGCCATCAAGCACGCATAGCAATAGCAATAAATTCATAGAATCTGAGAAGGCGAGAGATCTCTGTCAGTCGTGTCTCATAGGTAACACCGCATGATGGGGACTGCCGGTGCTGAGACAGTGAACATTCACCCGCAATGATCAGCTGCTTTGATTAATACTTGTCTCCAGCGAAAAACCCATCACGGAGCACTCGTTAGATGTCAACAGCGACAGTCAACTCTTCGCTTAGGCTCTCTGTAATGAATTGCTCATACACACAGACACACACGCACGCACGCACGCACGCACGCACGCACATACGCACGCAAGCACGCGCACACACGCAAGCACCTGCCTCTGGTAATATGTCTTCTGCATAAAAGGCATATTTCGTGAAAAATCCATTTCCCGACATTTCACTATGGTAGAAAAAGCATTGCAGAATTTTCTAATCGTCTCTAGAATAGACCTTTTCTAATTTTTGTGTGTGGTGATATATATTCGGACTAATTCGTGATATCCACGCAAGGTAGATGCTCTTTGGACGTCTAGAAAGCATGAAATTCATATTGATCTTGCCCAGAAATTGGTGAATTTCGTCGAGTGACGTAGCCATGGTGACCGGTCCGCGGTTTTTGTGGGTGAAACGGGATCATTTAGCTATCTGAATTTAATCTGATAGCTTTGTCTCTTCTTGTGAGAATGGCTTCTTTTGCTAATAATAGTAATTTGAGAGCGATGTGAACAGGTGAAAAACTCATGTGCTGACGCAAAACCGCCTTTCTATTATAAGGTAGCTATGTATATAATCTAAATAGCTATCTTAGGCTACTAAATGTTAACCATTTGTCATTTCAGTCCCTGTCTTGTGTAAGCGGACACGGCTATGCATTAACCTATTGTTACATGATGTATTATAATATTATTGTGTTAACCACAATTCAGTTGACTAAAGTTACAGTCTCGACTAGAGCATATGAATTTTAAAGGTCATAGATCGCTTTCCGAAATTACTAAATGAAATACTACGATTTTGTGTGAGTATTGACATGAAAAATGTACGTTTTTGACAGCGGTATAACACGTGACAACACCCCTACATTGGCCTACATCTCTGTCCACGATCCGGCCATTGTGTGTCGGATCAATACGGGATCAAGTAATAGGAACGTAATCTTGGCTTGCTTTGTGACCGTACGTGTCAGCTTAGGGCAAATGCCAGCGGCAAGCAGCTTTTCATGGTATACTCATGTAACGGTATAGCATAGATTGGCATGACTCACAATTTATTTCTGCGATACGATATAGTTATTATGAGCTATAGGTTACTTCAACTTGGAACAGTATTGAATTTGCTTACTGTAATTATGTTTCGAATCACCTGTGAGATTGTATGGAATACCAGGTTCAAACTGGTGAAGACCTGGTATTAGACAACGGGTGACGATAACTAGGGTGGTTCCCCCGCACACCGCGCCATCCATCCTTATAATCAGCCCTTCCTTTTTGGCGTCGATAGCAGGAATGAATCGTTCGGTGGTCTCTCATCTATCTCTGCCCATCTGTCGCGCTGGCCTCAGCTCCGGGTCCACTAATATTATGAATATGAAGTCAATCTATTCATCGGCAATCATCAACAACTTGTGAAACAACGGCAACAGCTGCCCCTTACGCAACACAATGACTCATCCTGATCGTAGCTTCCTATACATTCTCGAACCGCATTTATTCATATGCTCTGCTAGCAATTTTCATTCCTCTAGCTCCTGTCTCTCGCATTAGACTGATGTATAGACGTGACTATGCTGTTTCCTGATAATAAGCATCCTATTAAACATTCATTTACCTCTTTATATCATCTGTAACTCCACCTATCCCTATGCAAAGAAGGTGCCAGTTCTCTATTTAACTATAGATCATCACACTTAATTATTTACCCCTGATATCTATTTTATATATATATATATATATATATATATATCGGTGTGTGTGCGTGCGTGCGTGCGTGTGGGTGTGTGTGTGCGTGCGTGCGTGCGTGTATGTTCATGTGTTTATGTGACCATTTTATCTCGTATATAGGTATATAGGTCTGTATAGTCTATAGTCTATAGGTCTGTGTATAGGTCTGTATATAGGTGTTTTAGTTAAGCAGCTCAAGGTAACAACAAGCAAAAGTCATCACCCCCGACGGCCCCTAGAGAAAGATGTAGACGGCGCAGCGGAATGCCTAGCCGAAGTCGCACCGATCGATGTTATGGTGCAGCTTGCTAACCAGTACTCATAAAGGATGTCTTTATTTAAGTTTGGCTTTACGTCAGGTGACACGTGACCGTATAATAGTATTGCAGTTAAAAATACATACTTTATTATTCATAATTATGTCACTAACAGCATCTATGAATTCATACGACGACACACTCTTATATCTAAATTAAAGTTTTGCATAACAATGGTCTGGATCTGGGCTAGTGAAAGTTACGTCAGGGCTAGTGGTTTTCCTGAGTTACTAGCCCGGTGGTCTAGTGAA